ACACCATTGGAAAATTCGTAAACATAAGGAATCAGCACATATGCTAGGCCACAAAAATCTCCTGAGCCGACCAAGCATAGAAATAAATACAATATGGGAACCAGTAATAAGGAGTGCCAGAGAAAAGCAATGACAACAAAGTTGCAATATGAACTCTGGTAAAGACATGCAATGATAACAACAAAAATTGCAATATGAGCACTGGTAAAAATGATGCTGAAAATGGTTTATAATACTCAGTAGTTCATACCCGGATGTCCTCAAGGACATGGCACAGTGGATAAAGGCGTTGGTTAGATCCAGTGACAGACCCAAAGAAGGTGAGTTCAATTCCTGGTTAAGGCAGTGGAGAACTTTCAGAGGGAAAATTAGCAGGAGATAACTGACATCCATCAAACATGGCACGTGGAACTAGAACAGTCTACCCCAATGATCGAAATAAAGGGTTCAGTTCGAAATTCCTACCACCTGAAGAAGGCCGGAGCGTACAGCGGCCGAAACGTTGTGACAAATATGGCGACAAAGATGAGGACAATAGTCCGACTAATGTAAATACTGTACATAATACCTCATCTCAGAAATATAGACAGACTCAGATAGATAGATATTTATATATCTCTGTAATAGAACATATGAATAAAGACAGAAAGAAAATTTAGCTAACTAGTTTCGTCCTGTGAGTAACTTTTCAAGTTCCTCAGAAGACGAAAGGCTTCAACTAAGATAAGTTGTCCTTTTTTTTTTATATATATATATATATATATATATATATATATATATATATATATATATATATATATATATAGTGGGGGGAAATAAATATTCGTACACAGGAATTTTTATAAGTGTAAAAGCCTAAACTAAAACAAATTTTGATACATTTTATGTGTAAAGATACATTTTATTAAAAATAGTAATAAACTTAATTAATTCTTATTCTAACAGAAATTAATGCATTTTTTCTTCATTTTAACTGATGAAAAAAGTATTCGAACAAAACAAAAAAAAGCATATTAACTTAATTTAATACTTTGTGGAATATCCTTTATTGAGTTCAACAGCTACCAGTCTATTCCTGTACGTCTCAACTAATGATCTGCACACATTGAGTGGTATTTTGTCGCATTCTTCTTCGCATATTGTCTTCAAATTCTTGATATTTGTTGGTGCTCTTTTCCCAATTTGAATTTTCAAATATCGCCATAAATTCCCGATTGGGTTCAAGTCTGGGGACTGACTTGGCCATTGCAAGACATCAACGTTACTTTCAGCTAACCATTTCCTTGTAGATCTAGCGGTATGCTTAGGATCATTATCCAGTTGGAAAACCCAATCAGGAGGTAGTCGAAGTCTCTCAACAGAACGCATTAAATTGTCTTGCAGGATTTTCTGGTATCTTTCGGCATCCATCTTGCCATCTATTATTGATATTCTGCCAAAACCTTTTGCAGAAAAACAGCCCTAGTTCATGATATTGCCACCACCAAACTTTACAGTTGGCAACGTGTTCTTTGATAAGTAGGCTTCACTGTCTTTCCTCCACACATGATTTCGATAATTATGACCAAATAACTCTATTTTAGTTTCATCTGTCCATAGTACTTTTTCCCAAAAGGAATATCCTTTATCCTTATGCTCTCTAAAGAATTTTAGCATAGCATCTCTTTGTCGTTTCAAGAGGAGTGGAGTCTTCCTTGGGATGCGTGATTTCAGACTGTTTTTGTTTAGTTCATTACTTATTGTGTGCTTGGTTACTTTAATCCCTAATGTACGCAGATGTTCCTGCAGCTCTTCTCGGGTAACCTGTGGATTTTGTTGGATCTGGCCTCCTAATATCCTTGTTGATCTTAGAGAAATCTTCCTCGGAGCACCTGTTCGTCTTTGGTTTTCGACGCTGTTACGAGTTTTAAACCTTGCAATGAACGAAGCAATTGTAGTAAAAGGAATATTCAGGTTGTTAGAAATCGTTCTGTAACTGTTCCCATCTTTCCAAAGAGACAAAATGTGTGGTTTTTGTGAAATAGTCAAATCTTTAATTTTAGGCATTATTAGAACCTTCTCGTAAGACTAGAAATTGCAGAATGCTTTGATAATGGCTATAATTACTGATAACATTACTGGAACATTCTAGAATATACTTTTTTCATAATTAATTGATTATTTTATTCGAATAATTGATTTGTACGAATACTTATTTAACCAGTTAGAATTAAAAATGCATTAATTTCTGTTAGAATAAGAATTAATTAAGTTTATTATTATTTTTATAAGTATGTGTCTTTATACATAAAATGTGCCGAGATGTTTTATTTAAGGTTTTTACATTTATAAAAATACCATTTTTCAAGTGTACGAATATTTATTTCCCCCACTGTATGTATATATATATATATATATATATATATATATATATATATATATATATATATATATATAATTTAGAGTTGTGAATATTAATTTTATATTAAGCGTAAAGGGCGCTTACGGGCTGTTTAAAATAACAACAAAAAAGAGGAATGTTATAAGTTACATTTAAAATTAATCAGGATCCACGTATATCAGCGGATATTTATTTTTTCCTAAATATAATCATCAGTTAAAATCTCTTGTTCAATAACCAAGAGTTATTTAATTATTTTAAGATGAGTAATTTTTCAATAAGTCATAAAATATTTTTATTGGCTTTCCTATTGTAAGATGTGACTTTAGCTATAACACTCCAGGTAATAAGGGGTTTATTCTGTCATTACCAAATGTGTTTGGCGAGTGCAGTGCTGTTTAAGTATCTTACATTGCCTAAACTCATTCGATTATAGTAGAAACGAAATTTTCCAGGATCTATATTAGAACCAAAACAAAATTTGACATCGTTACCGGAATGTATGCGAGCTTGGTATACAATATATTCAGTCATACATTGACTGTTTAAGGGACATGATATTTTTCGAAAGTTGCACCTATTTTTCAAAAATTAACTTTGTTGCATTTATCTGTTTAATATAATATAATGTTGGGATATTTATTTACTGTCTCTATGCTTATATATCTCTATTGAGTCCGGTGTGCTTAATAGAGATGATAGTGAGGATAATAATATATATATATATATATATATATATATATATATATATATATATATATATATATATAGAGAGAGAGAGAGAGAGAGAGAGAGATAGAGATAGATAGATAGTTACAGACATACATTCATCTATGGATATATAGATTTGGATAGATAGATAGATAGATAGATAGATAGATAGATAGATAGATAGATAGATACAGACAGAAGACAGACATACATACAGACATATTTTTGGATGTATAGATTTGATAGTTAGATAGATAGATAGATAGATAGATAGATAGATAGATAGATACAGACAGATATATATTTATGAATATATAGATTTGGATAGATAGATAGATAGATAGATAGATAGATACAGACAGACAGACAGATATTTATAGATATAGAGATAGATATACAGACATGCACATATTTATTTATAGATAGATAGATAGATAGATAGATAGATAGATAGATAGATATGGAGAGAATAAACAGGAAATTGATTTCAAACCTTGTGTCGAATAGCTTTTTGATGTCAGTTGGAATCTTGCAAGGGAAATTGCCAAAATGTTGTATTTCCTCAATCCCTTTGATCAACATTGGTCTTAGTATAGTTTTATATTTTTAACTTCCAAAATTTGAAGTTAACGTAGGTTTACACGCTTGGTTTTTGGATTTGATTTTAGGATCACGTGGCTAAAATAACCTTACAGTTCAATGGCATTTTAACACGTGTCATCCTACATGGAAATTTTTGTATTGATAATTATTTGCTCCCCTTTGACGTAACACGCATTTTAACGAATTGCTTTATTTAAAACTTAGATGAACATTAATATCATGTGAAAAAATTATTTGATTCAAATATACGTAAAGTGATTGAAAAATACTTGAAAACTCAAGACGTACCAATATTAAATAAAATGCACTATTGTAAAGCAGAACAGTTGGTATTTATATGTAGAGGGAAAATACGACACACGATCAGTTTAATGAGGGGTTCGCTCATATAAAATCTCTTTTACCAACCGGTGTTTATTCACTTATTTTAATGAGAAGGTACTTCTTATAATATGGATAGCAATGAACCAGGTTCAGTCTCTTTGGTAAAAGAGTTTCTGAACACGAATGCGCTGGTTTGGTTTGTTCAACGACATATCAATTTGTTATGGGCCATTTTAATGTCAAAATTTAAATTTCTTGATAGCTGTGGTAATTTAAAAAAAAATGTATTGCTGGTAATTTTTCTTTTCCTTTTGCCATAATGCGTTGCCGGTATTTTTTTGTTTTTACTATGAAAATATATCCCTTGTATTCTTACTACAAAAATGTATTTTTATGCTTTCGTAATATTTTGACCCAAGTTTTTTTTTTTTGGGGGGGGGGTTCACTTCTAACAAGCAAGTCATATTAAAAAGAATATAAACTGTACCTCTATTCAAATTATTAATATTATTTTAATATGTGAATTAATTTTTGAAAATATAATGTTTTGAATATAAAAAAAGTAGACCAAATTTATTTTGGATCAAAGGTTTCAACTCACATATTACATCGCCAAGAATATGAGAAAGTAAAGAGAAGAAAATAGAATAAAATGAATTTTAAGCAGTGCATATTATATTTTTATCTAAAAGCGAAACCAAGTAAATTTGTTTGATTGATTTTTATTTTTTGGCTTTTCAACCTTTTGTAGTATATTTAAAACCCGAAAATATTTTTAGATCGTAAGAATTTTTGAGATATAAATATTTACTGATACAAATCCTACTAATTAACCTATAGCTGGCGGCAGATGAGACAGATTCATATATTTACCAAGTGTATTGGCGCGTAACTGAATAATAAGCACCTGGAGTTGAAACTCGCTTCTCGATTCTCCAATATCCAGATCTTATCCATTACACCATCGCATATCCACGCTTAGAGCCCCTGATATTCCAAAGCAGCCACCTATCGAGGTACTAACCAGGCTCGACGTTGCTCAACTTCAGTGATCGTACGAGAATAGGTGTTTCAGCGTGATATGGACGCAAGACTAGCGCGCTGCAAGTCGTGTCGGCAACGTGTAATGTGTTCTTTTATCATTAACCGATTTTTTGCAATGAGTTTTAAGGTTTATTTTTAGTATTGTTAGAGAATAGCAGTTGAATATTATAGTTCCTGTGGTTCATGTTAATATTTTATCTAATTGCATTTTCAAATTTAACTCTATTTATAGTTCAAGTATCTCTTTAATTATACTAATTATCTGATTATATATACATGCTTTTGTCTTTTTTCTGTAAACTTCTGTCATTGTGATAGAATTTGAGTATCCCACGTGTCCTTCTATTTAATTCACAACTAGAAAAAAATGAGTTTCATTCATACATTGCTCAAGGAAGTTTGTGCAAAAAAAGAACGCAACTGTATCGGATTGAATTTGAACTCGATACGATAATTTTATTTCCGCGTCGATAACCACTGCGCTCATATTTTATCTACATAGTTTTTGTTTCTTCTCCCATAAAAATACTGTAGCTGTCTAAAATAAATAATGTACATCACTTCTGTTAAATTACGCTCGGCTAATGTAACTTTAAATCTCCGAAGCATAATCATATCTTAAAGCATTTTGTGGAATGTTGACTAAAATATTATGAGGAAAGGTCTATTTACCTATGTTTAATAAATTTGTCTTCTTCCCTGTAATAAAGTATACTATTTAGTATGGGTCCTACGGCATAAGATCTATAAACATACATTCTTTTTATTAATTAGGGTTAACAAACAAAAGTCTGTATCATAAAAACACGACAACTAAGAAGCAAAGCATACTACTGAATCCTTTCTCGTGAGCATAAACCCTGAAGTAACTTAGCAACAAGAATGCCTAGTCAATTAGTTTCTATGCAACGCGTATTCAGATTCGAATATGGCCTCTTATAATGATATCTTCCGTCGTTCAGACCTTCGGTATCACCATGGAAACTTATACAATCAAATGCTGAATTTCAGGATGGTTATCTCTAGATAAACTATTTTGGTCGATGCACTCTATATTTTCAGGATGCTTTCTCTGAGGAATTTTTAATTTGCTACTCAAAAGGATAAAAATGGTATGGGACATCAATGTGGCATTGATTAAAATAAGTTCCCTTATTTTTGGAATGTGTCATTTTATTATATACTAGCAGTAGAGCCCGGCGTTGCCCGGGGATGTAACAGTAAGAGATAGATCAAGTATCGACCATCATAAAGACTGAAAAATAAAATTGACAAAGATTATTGTTTAAGGTTGACGAAAACGCATGTCTTAATTTTTTTTTTTTTTTTTTTTTTTTACGAATTGGTCAAACCCAAACTCAAACAAAAACATTGTTTTCAATCATTATGAGTCTACCGATTGAATAGAATTTTATTATAAACAATTGTCTTGTAAATGGAATTTTTAAAGCATTCTGAATGTAAAAATAAAGAAAAAAGTGCAAGACAATAAGAAACAATACCTGCCAAAAAAAAGTGATGTTTTGTTGAAATCGGTTGAAAAATGTAGGAAATCCGATCCCATATATAAACGAACACACACACACACACACACACACACACACACACACACACACACACACACACACACACACACACACACACACACACAACCTGGGTTTTATAATAAGTATAACTCGATAACTCGATATGAATAAGTATAACTCGATATGACGTGTCCCCATTTCATTCACTGATGCCTCTTAATCGTGTTTTCAAATTGATTTCGTGCAAAAACAATTGTATTTTTCCAATTTTTGGCGCTGTTAGAACCACCGCAAGGTAATTTTACGTAGTCCTGTGGAGTTTTGTTGAAATCGGTTGAAAATGTAGGAAATCCGATCCAATATATAAACACACACACACACACACACACACACACACACACACACACACACACACACACACACACACACACACACACACACACACAACCTGGGTTTATAATAAGTATGATTATTTTAGATTATGATAGATTTTCTTTTTCAAATTTCACTACAGTTGGATGTTTTGTATGTACAGACAAACCTCTCATCTACGTATTCTTCCTCCCACCCATCAGTGGACTACATTCAAAATGATAAAAAAAAGATATGCAGAAAAAACAAAAAAAAAAAAAAATTCCAAATCGTCAACAAGCAGTATTTAAAACACAAGCAGTATTTAAAAATTTGCAGGCTTAGGGTAACGAGTTGTATTAGTTTTCAAATTTACCACTTGGCGCCGGTAGCTGGCTCTTCAATTGCAAACAAATCCGGGTGTACAGTATACAAAGTACGATATATTAGCGCGTGCGTGAGAAAGTAACTGTTAGAAGTCTATTATTTTTGTTATTTTGATTAATATATCTATTTTAAGTATATATTTATTTATGCCGTATATACATGTTTATAGTATTTACATTATGATCATAGCTACTGCTGGTTACTATAGTGGTTTTAGAACTCAAAAATAATTCCTTCACATCTACAGACAATTGGCTTTAACGGACCAATCGTCTCCCCTATTAGTCCGTGGATGAGAGGTTTGTCTGTACATCCAAGCATGTCAGAAAAAAGAAAAAGAGAAACAGCAAATGTGCGCCAGTGTGGCAAGGGTGGGGGGGTACTGAGTCTGAAAGTCTACAAGTAAAGAAAAAAGAATTAATGAGAGAGAACAATAAAAGAACAAGAATTAAGAAAACAGATGATGATTGACATTGCATTCAAGGTTTTGAAGATTAATGTTGAGTGGAAAGCAAGAAGCCGGAAGAGAGTTCTACAAGCGGGAAATGCAATTAAAGAAACTGTTAGCATAGAATATCGTAACTGAAGTAGTTGAGTATACCTTGAAGAGAAATGTATGTGCTATTCGTGTTGCTTTGCGTGTCGTCACTGTATTCTCCGCAGCTGATAAAATGACAAAGTTTCTACAATGTAACGTAGAGTTTGCCATAGCGTTTTTCTTATTGCTTACAGCAATATGCTCGTAACATAAATCTGTAACATTGCAAATATGTTGCCATGTAATGGTACGTAGATGGATAATAAATTCTAGGAATATATACGAACGGGAATTATAATATAAATTAGTGATTCTTGATTTAAATAAATAGGAAAAAATATGATGAGCTTTCATCATTTGGACCTCGATTTCATGAATGTAATCGTAATACGACATTGACAGCTCCATCTTATTATTTCATTGTTGAAATTGCTAGACTTAACGGTAAGTTCTAAACTATTAATTTCTCCTACCGCTATTCTCGCTAGAAAAATTATCTTTCGGCTTTTTCATTTACAGTCAACTATTTTATTATCCTTTTATTATTATTATTATTATTATTATTATTATTATTATTATTATTATTATTATTATCCTTTCAAATTCTTTCATTCTCATTACCTCCTTGCATCTTAGTAGCTTCTTAAAAACCTAGTAAGCATAACAAAAAAATAAAACATCTTGTAAAATGAAGAAAAATGAATTCAGGTGTTATTTGATCAGAGCAAAATTTTTCAGATACAGCAGTTCGCAATATCAGCAGTCAATATCGTGTCAAAAAAAAGAGTTGATTGCAATCTCGTCAAAGTGTCATGTCCAGCAACTAAAATACAACGAGTCGGACTCGTTGCAAGTACGTTTCGTGATAGCTGGATAGTAGTCAGTTGGTAATTCCTCAGGAGAGATACCAACGTTGCATCAGCAGAACCAATAAACGATAGAAAGTTCCAAATCCGAACATCCATAATAATAACCTTCGAAGTAAAATAAAAATATTGAATCAAAAATAAATCCATTCTTTCGAAAAATATACATATATATTTTAAAGTGCTAATATACATAGAACAATATTTAATAAAACAGTATTAGAGATGTAACAATGAACACAAGAGGGCTGAACTTTGAAGTAAGGTACAAATTTATAGCTGTTGATAAATATATATTAAAAGCATTTATCTTATAATTGTGTTTGAAATATTATATTTGTTTCGAGGCGTTTTCAAAAATGTTTATCAACTATCATTTATTAATTTTTATTAGTATTTATTTTAACATTTTCCTTAATTTAACTTTGTTGTGCTGTATTAAGCAAGGCCGCCATGTGTTTGTTAAACAAACGTGAATGATCGATGGCTGTCATATTGTGACGATAAGAAATTAAAAAAAATAAAGAAATACAATTCACAGTGATTAATAATTTACAATAATTAATGTAAGAAAACCGATTAATATTGTTTTTAATACTACTATTACGTGAAAACAATACAGATACGTATTAGGCGTATAGGGGGGATTAAGAAAGAATGCTATGTGTTGAATTTAGGAACCGACTGACCTTTTATAGCCTAATCGAGTTAACAGCTGTCTAGGACATAGCAACTTCCTGGCGATGAAAGAGAGGAGTTTAAATTTCGTTTACGTTTTATTAGTTACTTAATGAGATTCATAGAATGACGACATACCATAAAAAGCAACAAAAATAAATTAAATGAACAGTAGGCAAAAATATGTTTGTTTATTCTTATTTAGGTGAATTAACTAATAAATCCACAACTCTTGTTTCTATAATTCCTAATAAATCATTAACTTGGCGTCATAACGTAAGATTTATGATCGCAGATTTATCTGAATAAAGTAGATTGGAGTCGCGATTTATCACACAGTAGATTCTCAAGATAATATCGATACGATTTGAGGGCCCGTAAGAAGGAGTCATATAAGGAGGGCTAGTTTATATATTACTAGTAAGCAGGCATACTTGGCGAAAGTATATCTCTTGAGTTTAGGTTGGCTAAAACACTTCGATCACTTTAGACGTCTCGGCACTTACTTTAATTAGATTTATCTGTATATTACAATGTCTATCTAAAAATCGAAAGACATTTAATCTACAGAAATTACACTTTATCCGAGAGTTTTGGTAAAGGATGAGTAAACGTCAAGGGTGTTTTTCTTTTTCATAAATGAGTTTCTTGGTGTTTTCGATCTTATAATAAGATAACTAAAATGCACTGTCTACAAATTT